AAAGAGATCRTAGCAGTTTCTCTAGAAAGCTTCTGGAGATGTTTTTGGTGACTGTYGTTACTGTTTACCTTCAGTGTTGCTGACGCTTAGAGAGTCAGCACCTGGCTCCTGCATTGCCAGTGTTTTTTTGTAGGTTCTCTCCCCTCCTAATCCCAAAGCCTTTGAAGTAAACAGAATTTTTGGTTACATTTACTCAGTTACTGAACCAAGGCTTCCCCTGTGCAAGCTCTGCCAGGCCAGCCAACTCAGTAGTAAGTGCAAGGCACAGGAGTTCATGCTGTTTCACACTGGTGTCTCTTTACAGGAGTTATTCAGCGCTGCACTGCTGTGAAGTACCACTACACCTCCAGCTCTCTGCCTCGCAACTTGCCCATCAACATCACCAACACCATCAGGCAGGATGAGTGGCACGCACTCCGTAAGTAGCCCAGAGCAGTACACAAGAATGTTTGGATTACAATGCAATGCCAAGCTGAGGGCTCGGAATCATCTTGTCTAAGCATGGCACTGTGGTCTAAGCATAGATACAGGCTGATTAGTGAGGAAATGCTGGCAGCCAAACTGCGTAATTGGAAGGGGACGTGAGATTTGGAAGGGCTTAAAGCTGTGAATTTGTGGATACAGATATGGGTAGTGAACTGCAAGGTGTAATCATATTCTGGATCTGGGGACACACAGTTCCTAGCTGGCTCAAGCTGAGSTGCATCACTAAATAGATCTTGTTGCAATTTTCTGTGTGCACACCAGTGACCTGACACAACTCCCTGGTGACCAGTTCTTTTAGGGAACATCTGAGTTTGTCTTTGCAACCTCCTGTTACCAGCGCTTGGCCCACAAGCTGCCTCATGCCCATCCTTCCCACGCAGATAACTGACCTGTAGCCTGTGACTGAGAATGATTTAATCAGCTTTTTTCTGCTCCTGCTTCTTTCTCTGTKTTTTGTTCTATTGCCTCACATAATTCAGCACAGTCCCTGTCAAGTGAGAGTCAGTGCCAAGGAAATCCTAGTTCAGCTGGGGACTGAACTAGGAGGCGACATGAACAGCAATTTTACTATGGATAACAGAGTGCTATTCGTGTCRCTGGTACCCAAGTTTTTTTTTTAGAGCTTGCTATTGGAGTGGTTCCCATAATACTTTATCAATCTGCTGTCTGCTTCTGTCCTCCCACTATTCCTCTTTCCGGTTCACACTGTGTGCCTCCCAKGCACTAATCCTTTAGTCCTCCTCAGTGTCCCCTCTTTCTTTTGTTTCTATTTTCAGCAGACACTCCCCCAACAAACTCTATCCCAAAGAAAGACATCACACAAAAAAAAAAGAAAAAARCCCTTGCAGTAYTAACATGAGTTCATGCTGTCCTCCTTCTGTCCCATGCTGGGGAGTATTTGCTGATTCTCCTCTGAGTTGCACACTGCCCAGCAGAATGGAGTAAATTTAGCTGGATTCCCCTAGTTTCAGTGTCATGGACAAACTGTCTACCTCGAAGAAGGAGGAGAAGTCCATGGCTGAAGTTATAAACTTTAGAACAGTAAATCCACATCTGYCTGGACTCTCCCCTGGCTGCTCTCTTGAGGCGCTGCTATCTTCATGTCTTCTGTCTTGCTTTTCTCCTTTGTCTTCCTTCAGATCTGCGGAGGATGACAGCTGGCTTCATTGGCATGGCAGTCTCCATCATCCTGTTTGGGTGGATCATTGGTGTGCTGGGCTGCTGCAAACAGCAGGAGCTCATGCAGTACGTGGCTGGGCTGCTCTTCCTAATGGGAGGTGAGAGCCWTTCGCTTCTGCTCCTCAAGTCACCACATAGAGTATTGCTGCCTTGTAAAAGTAATGTCAGCACCCACACAAAGCAGTTACCTAGTGCAGCAAACTGTCAGCACAGAGCAGTTACCACTTCCAGCCCTGGGCAGACCCTGTGCTTGCATGGGTATTGCATGTTTCTCAGCAGAGCCCAATGTATGTATATGAGCCTTCTGCTCTAGAGCTGGTGTGTAGCCATGGGGATCATGTGCATAATGAGCACAGTCCTCAGGCTTGCTCCAAGTGCGCAGCCTGTGGCTCSTGTCAGCTCAGCTCGATTTTCCCTCTGGAATCATAACAAACAAATATCCCTTAATGTAGACCACCTTTCTGGTACTCAAAGATGCTTAGATTTTTGTGTAATGATGAAGTCCAAACCCAGCCAAGCCTGGGAGAACACTTGGCCTGATGATAAGGATGTGAGCTCAGTGCTTGCCAGGGTGTTACATCTGTTTGTCCTGGGTGGGAGCAGACTTTCTGTGTGACCAAAGGTTTTTCTGAACTTGGATTTTTCAACTCGAAAATAGACAGTATAGACCTGGAGTCTAGTGTGCTAGTATAKTAGACATACTAGAGTGCCTTGTGTTACTTTTCTTAGGTCTTTTCATRTCTATATCAGTGTTTAGTGAATGTATAGCAGATTACAAAAACCTGGGCACTCTCTATGGGCCTACGGTACAGCTGGCAGAAGTCTGGGTGTTCCTAGTGGAAACCAAGCAGTGCCGACTTTATAGCCCTGGGGTTCAACTGCCCAAGTACTGTCTGGAGCCTGATGACATTATTCACTGGAAATAGTCTCAGGAGAATCAAAGCATGATGAGCTATGACTGACTTGAGTTAAAAATTGCAACAAAAAGTGCTAAGGCTGTTTTGATTATTTGTGAAGCAAGGTTATCTGGTAGTCCTACATATTTTCCTTTCTTTATTTTTCTCTACCTTAGAAGGAGAGTGGCTAGTAGGACTGCAGAAGAAACCCCAAGTGTAAATCTCGATTTTGAAAATTCATGACGTTGAAAATACTGAGGGAAAAAACAGAGCATAATTAACCTGTCTGAGGGCAGTGTAGAACCCTCTTACTTTTCTCCTGCAGGTACCTGCTGTATCATCTCACTCTGCACATGCGTAGCTGGGATCAATTTTGAGTTATCCCGCTATCCTCGCTACGTCTATGGGCTGCCAGAGGACATCAGTCATGGCTATGGCTGGTCCATGTTCTGTGCCTGGGGGGGCTTGGGCCTCACCCTGCTGGCTGGGTTTCTCTGCACATTGGCCCCATCACTCAACACCTCCCGGGCATCCGTACAAAAACCCAGACAAGAAAATGGGGCCGTGTGACCCCAGAGGGAGTGAGGAGAGACTCTGGAAAGCGCAGCCTGGGCAGAGCTGTGGGTTAACACCAGGAAGAGGTGGCATGTCAGCGCGTGGAGAGCAGTGCCAGAGCTGTTGATATACCAGCCCATGGGATGCTGCTACAGCCTCCAGTCGCAGACACGGACATTGCAAGTAACTCCAGGTTTGAATTATTGGCAACTTGATCATTGATGGTTTAAGRGGGACAGTTCTTTCAATTTATTTTTCTTCTGTTTACAAGGGATTAAGTCCAAGGTTGTCTTTTTTTGTGCTGTTTTTTGAACTGTACCTCCATGGTCCTGTTATTGTCCAGTTGTAAGGGATGTTTACGCACCAACTCTATTGCTGCAGGTCTGTGTAATTCAGACCCAATTTCGGGCAAGGAGCTAAGTGAAGTTGGCTTGAACACTTTTGCAACAGGCATGTCTAGTGTTGGCTCAGGCCATCCTTTCCCAAAAGAACCTTGATCTAAGCTGAGGTTTTGGCCAAAGAATTAGCCCATTCTTAGTATTAATTTATTTGAATCAGAAACCTGTGCTATTCCATGCTGTGGATTCAGTGATTTACTCACTACTCAAACTGTTTCCAAAAGGAGCTAGCTCTAACGGAGCAGCACGAGTCCAGGAAAACTTACAGACTTTAGGAGAGCAGAGGAAGGTTTTTCTCAGCTTCTTACACAGTCAAAGTTACTCATTTGCTAACTAACATACCCTTGTTTTGATGGGGAGATGTATGCAACGTGCAGCTTTTAACTATTCCACCAGAGGTACATTTCTCAAAATATGTCATGGTTTGAGCTGCYAGGATCAACTTTCACTTCTGAACTAACTTGTGGGTGCAAATCCTGTGAAAGGAGATGAGTAATTCTCCCCGAGCTCAAATAACTGTACTGTTAAAATAGCAGATATACAGCCCCCTCTACTATTAAGTGTCCAAAGGAACCACAATCTATCTTCCTCAGGAACGTGTGGCTTCTGCTCAGTTCTCTACTCACCCCGTTCCAATGTCAAATGCCCCGAACACAGCGTGTCAAGAACATGCATGCTCTGCTGGAACAAGATCCCTCTCCAAAATGAACACTAAGGACCTTGGTACCAGCACCAGTACTAGGGCTAACTCAGGAACATCAGCCAAAGTACTTTGGAGTGCATTTTTCTTTCATTCTTCTATTCTTTTTTTCCTCTCACATCCCCATCCCTCTCCCAAGTGTCCAAAAACTGCACAGGTAAAGATAAGATGGCCAGCATTTGGAGATGTTTACATTGTATTTAAAATACAATACAGTGGCATGTAAGATAATGCTAAAGTCAGTGTATTTATGAAAAGTGTAATTTTTAAATGGAAGTTGTAATTCTCAACTGGCATTAAAAGTACTGAAAGACTTGCTCAGTGGATGAAACCTCGAATTTTTTGTGATTRATCACCTGACTGGTTCACCAGAGAGCTCATATACGTATGAGTATATATATGCAACAGTATATAAGCAACAGTGTTAAAGCTTCAAGGGTTAAGTTCAATTGACTAAGTTAAAACATCGTCCATGTGTGAATTATGTTCACCCTTGCAAAATGAGTGTTCAGAAGTTTCAAACTCTAACAAGGCTGTAGTCTGTTCCCTGGCTGCATAGGCAAGAACCAGGGATGCTGTCTGAGCTGTAGATCATCAATGTCACAGTACACTTCCTGCAGTATAACCTGCTGTTCCTCACACAGAAGTAGCAGAGCARGATTCAGTCCACTTCTAGCTGGAGGGTCCAAAGGCAGCATGATGRGCACCGTGAACTGGAGGCTTTCAGCCTCCCTCAAAAAGATGTAAAACCACCAAGCAAGGGTGACAGCCCCAACACATCRAGGATTTGTTTTTAAAGGGAAAAAATACTTTATTTTTTCCACGCAGAAAGTGAGTGATACAGTCCAGTCTGCTCCTGTCCTCTGCCATGGCCACAACCTTGACTGGGCAGAGATCAGGCATAGTACTGCAGATTGGCTTTTTTCTTTGCTTGAACCTCCAGGATTCCCTCCATGTAGTCCTCATGCGTGAGCTCCGTGGCTCCGCGGCGGAGTGCAATCATCCCCTGCCCAACAAAACAGTGTTTAGACAGGGAATGTAAGCACCACASCAGTTCCAAGTAATTACTCCATGCTAGCTTTCACATTTCCCTCCTATCAGTGCTATTCCTACAGCAGACTACTTACCGCTTCAACACACACAGCCTTGCACTGGGCTCCATTGAAATCATCTGTGCAGCGAGCCAGTTCCTCATAGTTCACGTCRGGGCTGATAGGAGCAAAGGGGAGAAAAAGTCTGAGAGCGTGTACCAAATAGAAAAAGCACGGTAGGGAKTTCCCTCAATCCAACATGGAGCTCCCAACAAGTGACTGCCAACCACTTCTCAGCCCTGAGGCAACATCATGAGTGACAAACATAGCCCCAGAAGGCCATACCTGACATTCATTTTGCGTGAATGAATCTGCATAATTCTGGCTCTGGCTTCCTCATTAGGCATTGGGAACTCAATCTTCCGATCTAATCGTCCAGAGCGGAGCAAAGCTGGGTCCAAGATATCAACCCGATTGGTTGCAGCAATCACCTAAGTAGGAGTAGGATCATCAGTGTGAGACACTTGGAAGAGAGTCCTCTTCTCCCCAAAGATCCACCAAGCTTCTTCCCTGGACATTGTTTTCCATCCCCTGCTAGAGCGCCCTGGGCCTCAGCAGCACTCCCTAGTAGTTCCCAACCTTGACTTGTGTGTTGGGCTGGAAACCATCAAGTTGATTAAGCAGYTCCAGCATGGTCCTCTGCACTTCTCGATCACCAGCCTTCTCACTATCAAACCTGAGGGGGAAACAAGGGTAAAACTATCAGCGTGAACCTGACCACCYTCTCCCTGTGCTTTTAATCACATCAAAACATAGAATGACAGTACTTCATGCTCCTTGGCTGAAGTGTTCCAAATTCTTCCTTGAAACTACAGTCCTGATGAGGACTGCAACTAGAATAACTGTCAGCAGCACCTAAACTTATTTAGTCCTTAGAGCTGAATGGGGCTTCTGCTGTCCAGGCCCAAGGAGTAAATGAGGGCGAACATCTCCAGGTGCCTGCTGCAGTGATCAGAAAACAGTCTTATACAGCAGACTATAGACTGATCCCAGTCTGATGAACTTTGCTCCTGAGCCCAAGGATTGTGGCAACTGCTATCCATCTGTGACTGTGTTCACACTCTGAGTAGTGAGTGCTTGAAGAGGCTCTGCTCACACACACAGGCAAAGGAAGCTGCTAGGCAGCTCCCAGGAAGTTTACAACTCACCTTTTAGTGCCAATAGCATCCAGTTCATCAATAAAGATGATGGAAGGAGCTTTTTCCTTTGCGAGAGCAAAAGCATCACGTACCAACTTTGCTCCATCGCCAATGAACATCTGCACAAGTTGTGGACCTGCCAGCTTCAGGAACGTAGCCTGGGAAAAGAAAGAGAATAAATTCCATGCCTCGTTCTCAGTAGGGTCAGTTCTGAGTCCTATAAGAAGCAAGAAAATAGGAAAATCCCAGCCTTTATAACACCAGTTTGTGTTACAAACCTCTTCCCTGACCCTCTTCCCCTGAAGGTGTTCTTTCTATTTGTCAGGTATTCTACATCAGCACACACTTTGACAGGTTCCTTTTACCTTGGTCTGGGCAGCACATGCTCGAGCTAAAAGTGTCTTCCCTGTTCCTGGAGGGCCATACATAAGGACTCCTTTGGGTGGCTGTATACCCAAATTTTCAAATTTCTCCTTATGATTCATTGGCAGAACAATGGCCTCCACGAGCTACAACAAAAGAAAAATATTAATACATAAATCCATTCTTCTCCACAGATCCAGGCTGCCTGCTTTTGAGTTGAAGTTGAAAGACTTGTCCACAATCACACCAGAAACTGTACATAAAGTATCACCTCTTGGATTTGTTTATCCAGCCCCCCGATGTCACTGTACTGCTCTGTGGGCCTCTCATCCACTTCCATGGCTTTCACCCGTGAATCATATTCAGTAGGCAGAGTCTCCAGGATCAAGTAAGAGTCTTTGTTTACCCCCTGTAAACAAAAGTCCTTTGCTTTTAACAGGTCCCTCAGAGAGCACTTAATAAGCACACAATCAAAGCTGATTTACTACACCTCAAGAATGTGGGAATAACCAGCTTTTACACTGGCACTCGTCATCCCAGCTTGGCACAGTGGACAATGCCACAGATAACCTACCACATTTTAAAAGAGTGGTCCAGTTTACTTACAATACAAAAGATAGCGTTTAGAACACTTATGAAGTGATCTCTAAACTTTACTGTATGTATAAAGGACATACACTCCAAACTGCTTTTCTTTACTACAAGTCTAACTGAACCCATTATAGCTTTCTATTAAARTTTTAGTAGAGAAATGGTCTGGGGGAAAAATGGACAGATTTGTCTCCTTTCTTAAAGTCAAGACATATGCAATTTTCTGGCCACCTTCCTATCTAACTATCACAATAGAATCACTCACCACCAGATCTCCAGGCTTCAACTTCTCAGCATCAACCAACCCAATTACAGGCAGGAAGTACGTCTGTAAGAAAGAAATCAAAGTAAGCAAAACCAGATGTACTAGGAGAAGGTCCTTTGCACCATTCTTCACACCTGGCTGGGCACATGGGTCTTACCTGACGTGTAGATGTCTTGATCACAGCACACTTGCCCTTTCTCTGAGAATCCAGGTCAATGTTTGCTCCATCTTCCTCTTGGTCATTGGGGTCAACATCCAGCAGCTGAAAACCAGGGTGAAAGAGTTCATGACAATGTAGCCAGGCTAGCAGAATAACCCCAGGATTAATGCTTCTAAATTACATGCATCGGAAGAAATAAAACTTTACATTRTCCAGCAGCAGCAGAATTCTGAAAGCATTAAAGCCCTCCTGTAAAAATTGATTTCTTCCTTTCCTMATGAAGCAGCACACAAGAGTGCATAGAAAGACATTACAAAATTCAGAACAAAGTAGTTAATGGCATTGATTCCTTCCCTCATACAGCAGCTCACATTAAGGTCTAAGCATATTAAGTGTTAAAACAGGAGTACAAACCAATCCTGTTTTTAAAAATAGCGAACTATCAGCATTCTTTTTCCTAACATCAAAATGACTGAATTACAAAAAGAATGTGATGGAGTAACAGAGCCATGGCCTTTCATTTGCTGTTCCACAAGTTGCAGAGAGTCTATGTCCAATTTCACACGCTCAAGTCTACACTCAGCAGGGCTGTGTCACCCTCTGATGGTTGTTAGGTACAGATGAACAGTACCCAAAACCTAAGGAATGACCCACACAAGTGGGCAAGTGATGTGCACTTCCAGGTCACAAACAAAACCAACAGAAAACCCCGAGTCTTGGCTTTTGCAGCATTGGTAGTCTGAGAATACTCCATGTCTTGAATCCCTGATGAGTTCCCTGCCTTTCTCCCTGCCACTATATACTGCACACACTTCTCATGTCACTGCACAACAGCCAACCACTCTCACCTCAATRACATTGGAGACAAGGTATGGCAGGGTTTTGTTCACTTTGATCTTCTCACTGTTCTCTTTGATCTTATCTTTCATGGCCTGCAGCTCATGGGTCACTCTCAGTACTTCACTCTTCATGATCTTCAATTGGTACACAGAAGAAAGAAAAAGGAGTAGTATAAGAAGACTAAGGCAAGAAAAGATTAATCCATTATTCCAAAAGGAAACAGTTACAGGAGTCTAAGTCTGAGGAATAAAGGGAAATGTAATACAAAGCATGTAATAAATAAAAGCAAAGCCAGCCAATTAGCCAAAATTGGTTAGGAATCAAGGCTACACAGTCCAGTCTGGCCTCTAACTGATTGATAACCTCAAATAATTTCTTCCCAGGGCTATGTGATAGCCTCAGCCTAATCAGTGCAACAGCTTACAGGGTTGCAATGTGACCTACATAACAGTATGGCCCAGATATGGCATGGCAACTGTCGTTTCCTTTCATTGTGGTATTTTAATATACACAGATACACAAGTAACTGCATATACAGACATGTTATGTTTTGGGAGGTGGGTGGAATGAGATATCTTTAAGGTCCCTTGCAGCCCAAACCATTTTGTAATTCAGCCTGGAAAAGGCTCCAGGGAGACCTCAYGGTGGCCTTTCAGTATTTAAAGGTGTCTTTTAAGATAAAAGATGGGGACAAACTTTTTAGTAAGACCTGTCACAACGRATCAAGGAGTAAGGGTTTTAAACTTAGAGTAAATTTACACTAGATATAAGGAAGGATTTTTTTTACAATAAGGATAGTAAAACATTGCAACAGGTTGTCCAGAAAGGTTTCCATCCCTGGAAACATTCAAGGCCAGGTTAGACAGGGCTCTGAGCAACCTGGTCTACTGGTCTACTTAAAGATGTCCCTGCTCAGTGCAAGCGTTGGCCTAGATGACCTTTAAAGTCCCTTCCAACCCAAATTACTCAGTGATTCTAGGATCCTACTAAGGGAAAAAAAAAACCTCTAAGAAAAAAATTCTGTACTCACCATCCAACAGTGAGTACATTTACACCCAACACTAACATACCCAACACAGGTGTCTGCAGTGCTGTCTGGCTGACACTGACAGGTGTTCTCCTCCCTCTCCTGGTTAGTCATACAGTGTGAAAACACAATCTGTGATCCCCACTGGCCTGACTGTAGCACCAAGAGGTCCCAGGAGAACTGGTCACACCTGAATTGGTGTATGTGATTCTGTTTAATGGGGAAATCCATTCTTCACTAAGAAACTGTCTTTTTAAAAGCCTTTTTATGCTTCAGCATAATACTGTGTTGCAACATATTCACAGGACACAACTGTTACAGGAGCCAATACAGAATCTGAAAAATGTAAAAAACTTAATAAATTTAATAAAACACAGCCTAGAAAACATTCAAGGAAAACTGCCTGAAGGGAGGGTTCTGACAAACATGCTCTTACTATAAAATGAAGAAGGCTACTTCTACTCCTCACTGTATTCTACAATTAAAATAATGAAGACATATATTACCTTTAATGCCCTTAAAGAATAATAAAGGACATTAGTAAGTCAGAATTGTGGAGGCTAAAGCAGTATACAATGAAGTTGCTCTGTAGAATTGAGTGAAATATTTTCTCTCAACACTGCTAACATTAGACAGCAAACTTAYTCTAAATTTGTAAGTGCTGTTTTATGCAAAATGTATCTATCTTGAGACAGGTCTAGCTATATAACATTTTCATGARTGAACAAGACAAGGGGATGGAGTGTTTTCTCATCGTGTTTGCAGATGACACCRAATTGTGAGGCATAGTTTCTGTGTTCAAGGGTAGATGTGCCACACAGAAACCTTAAAAAACACAAGGAGACATGCTAAGCCCCGCACCAGGGAGGGAMGTGCACCTTGCAATGACACATGCTGGTGACTGGCTAGCTGAGAAATGGACCTGGGGGTCTCTGTAAGACAATGAACTGGACAGGAACCAGCAATGTGCCCTGACACCAATGGTGGCAAACTGCATCCTGGGCTCTACTAGCAGGACTACTAGGCCGTAGATGGAAAGAAGTGTTCAGTCCCCTTTATTCAACACTTTTAGAGCCTACCTAGCCTAGAACACTTGGTCCAATTTTGGTCCCCCCYGCACAGTGAAGACATTTGATAAACCGGTCTGAGTTTAGCACAGGGCCAGCAAGATGGCCAGAGGACTAGAGCACAGAGCCTGTGAAAAASAGCTGAGGGATGTGGGCTTGCTCAGATGGACAACAGAACTGCTGGGGAAGGAGGTATCAAAAAGACTGAACCAGATACTTCACAGAAGTACAAAATGGGCAGATGAAACAACAAAAACTGAAATAGGAGAGGCTCAGCTTACATGCAAAACAAATCTTTATACTCACGAGGTCTGTCAAGCAGTAGCACTTAACACCCTGAGAAGCAGTGTAGTATCTGTGTTTAGAGGCTTTCAGGATCCAACTGCCCTGAGTAGCCTGGGTTATGGCTGACCCTGCCTTGAAGAAGCAGTTTGTCCTGGAGGTCTGCTCAAGTCCCTTCCAACCTGAATTACTCAATGAKTTTACCTGACTCAGGCACAGAACAGACCTCCCCCTCGCCTGTGCCTGTGAGGCAGCTTTATCTATAGCATCCATGGCTGCGTCGACAAACCACCCCCTCAGCTTCCTCGGGTCTATGCTCTTCCTGTGCTCATTCCCCACCTTCGCGGTTCAGTACTCCTCAATCTGCCGCTCTCAATTCACCTAACCGTGTTTAATTTTTTGATGTCCCCATGGCTGTGCTAACCCACCCGCCCCGAACACCAGCAGCAAAGAGCCCCCAAGTGAGCAGCCCGGCGCGGCCCCCGCCGCTACCTTGATCTCGCTGTCGAGGAGGCGAGTACGCTGCACTATCTCCTCCGTGGACATCTTCAGCACCTCCTCGCCGACGCCGTCCTGCGGGGGCACAACGGCAGCGTCACCCTCGGCCCGGCCCGCGCCTCGCCCCAGCCCCRCAGGCCCCGGCCCCGGCCCCTCACCTCCGACTCATCCCACACCGACGCCATCTTTCCGCCGGCCAGCGAGGGCGCGCACCGCGCGGCGGGTTCGTCGCGGCAGATTCCGCACTGCGAATTCCCGGCGGCGCAGGGCGCAGGGAGTGGGACGGACGGGCGCCCGGGGGTTCTGTGCACCCTCCTCTTCCCCGGCGCCGCCGCCGCCCCGATCGCGGCCCCGGCTGCCCGCGGCCGTGCCGAATCTGCCGGCGGGGCGGGGAGCGGCGGCGGGTCACGTGCCGCCCCACAACCTGCTGAGTG